TCACCCCAAGGACTGACTGCTATCCTGTCCCCTGCCCCAACCCCCCCTTTTTAACCACGTCCTGCCGGCTTTCATGAACTGCTATGCTGTGAAAATTAACTCCCCCCTCCCCCATCCCTCACCATGCGCCCACATCTATTACTAATTCTTTCTACTCCCTTTACCTATCATGTTTCACCCTTCGCGACTGACACTTAATTAGACTGTTAATTCTCTTATTAATAGGCAACGACCGTTCACAGCTGATTGAGAGGTCACGAAATTTAATGACGTCATTAAATTCTGCCCAACTCGTGATCTTTGCCTTGTTTAAATCTGAAGGCAAGAAAGTAGGAATTAAGCGCATTGCCAAGTACGCAAATGATAAGAGGTGGACGTTCACATGTTAGATTAGAAGTATATATTAGCCACTTGTACGGTAAGATGTTTAGTATACTCACCATACGGGCAGGCTGTGGGCGGGGACCTTAGAGCACGTTTCTTCTCTTGGTCATAAGCCCTCTTAAAGACTTTTTGAAATGTCCTGTTCTTCTGGTCATGGTTACCGTTGTTTACTGCGTGGCATGACTGGAAAGCCTCTGTGCCGAACATTGTCATAGAAGAAGTGTTCGTTGCATACCGGACACAACGCGGTATAGATAGGAGTCGGTTAATGACCTTTTGTGTACATTCCGGCCATGTAGGATAAGGTGTGCAGTAATTTCATATGCAAAAGGGTTATGAAAACCCTTTCCACGTATGCGTAGACGTTAGCCCCGCGGAGCCCTATGAGATGTACAACCTGGTAATATATATTATGTGACGTATGACCTACTAGTTGCGCTCTTCGCTAGGCGTCCTGCACTTCGGTCTTTAGGCTGTTCATATCATGCAGAGTGTGCAGCCTTTCGAAGGCTGGAATTGGCACAGCAGGTGGGGCGGCAGCGGATGTCCTGGACCGCTGCCTGGGCGCCAGAATTCCATTTTGCATGAAGGCCTCGATGGTCATAATGCGCCGGCTTGTCAGGCCGGTCCACTTCACAAGCCACTTATGAACGCGCTTGTTAATACAGCGGCGATGGCCTCTTGACCTGTGCCTCTGTCTGCAGAAGTTGCTGGTGCTGGCTTGCGGTGGTGTAGCGGTCGCAATTGACACTGTTAGGTCGCTGGACTTACT